CTGAACGATTATTTCAGTAAGGAGGAAATCAAGATGGAAATCAAAAGATTCTTTGAACTAAATGACACAAAGGAGACACAATTTATCAAAATCTGTGGGACACAGCTAAAGCAGTCCTGAGAGGAAAATGTATATCCATAAATGCCTACATCCAAAAGACAGGAAGATCACAAATCAATAATCTAATGAATTGTCTCAAAGAACTGGAACAGAATGAGCAAACCAACCCCAAACCCAGCAGAAAAGAAATAACAAAGATCAAAGCAGAACTAAATGAAATTGATGACAAACTATATGGAAGATTAATAAAACAAAACGTTGGTTCTTTGAAAAAATAAACAAAATTGACATGCGTCTGGCTAGACTAACAAGAAGCAGAAAAGAAAGAACTCTAATAAGCTCTACCAGGAATGAAAAAGAAATTACAGCTGATGCCATGGAAATACAAAATATCATCTATGAATACTATAAAAACCTCTATACACATAAACTGGAAAATGTGGAGGAAATGGACAAATCCTTAGAAATACACAGCCTCTCTACGCTCAATCAGGAAGAAATGGAATTCCTGAACAGACCAAAATCAAGTACAAAAATTGAAACAGCAATAAAAAACCTTCCTAAAAAGGAAAGTCTTGGACCAGATGGTTTCACACCCGAACTTTACCAGACTTACAAAGAAGAACTTGTGCCTATCCTGCAGAAATTATTGCATAACATCAAGAAGGAAGGAATCCTCTCCAACACATTTTATAAAGCCAACATCACCCTGATACCAAAACCAGGAAAGGATGCAACAAAAAAAGAAAACTACAGACCAATATCTCTTATGAATGTAGATGCAAAAATTCTCAACAAAGTCCTAGCAAACCGAATTCAGGTGCTTATCAAAATAATAATCCACCACAGCCAAGTGGGCTTCATCCCAGAGATGCAGGGATGGTTCAGCATATGAAAATCTATAAATGTAATTCACCACATAAATAGAAGCAAACACAAAGACCATATGATCCTGTCTATAGACGCAGAAAAAGCATTCAACAAAATTCAGCACCCTTTTAGGATAAGAACGCTTAACAAAATAGGCATAGATGGGACTTATCTAAAAATGATACAAGCCATGTATGACAGACCCACAGCCAACATCATAATGAATGGGGAAAAATTAAAAGCATTCCCACTTAGAACTGGAACCAGGCAAGGTTGCCCTTTATCACTACTTCTATTCAACATAGTGCTGGAAGTCCTAGCCAGAGCAATCAGACAAGAGAAGGAAATCTAGGGTGTCCAAATTGGGAAAGAAGAGGTCAAACTATCGCTCTTTGCTGACGATATGATCTTATATCTAGAAAACCCCAAAGATTCTGCCATGAGAATACTGAAATTGATAAACAAATTCCGCAAACTCTCAAGTTACAAAATCAACATACAGAAATCAGTAGCATTCCTATACTCCAACAACAGTCAAACTGAGAACCAAATCAAAGACTCAATACCCTTCACAAAAGCAACAAAGAAAGTAAAATACCTAGGACGAAGACTGCAAAGGCAATCATAGCAACAACAAAAATAAATAAATGGGACCTGATCAAATCAAAAAGCTTCTGCACAACCAAGGAAACTATCATAAGAGCAAACAGACAACCTACAGAATGGGAGAAAATATTCTCATATTACACATCTGATAAAGGACTGATAACTAGAATCTATGTAGAACTCAGGAAAATCAGCAAGAAAAAGTCAAACAACCCTATCAAAAAGTGGGCAAAGGACATGAACAGAAACTTTTCAAAAGAAGATAGACTAATGGCTAACAAACATATGAAAAATGCTCAATATCGCTAATCATCAGGGAAATGCAAATCAAAACCACCATGTGATATCACTTATCCCCAGTGAGAATGACCTTTATTAAAAAGTCCCAAAACAATAAATGTTGATGTGGATGCGGACATATAGGAACACTCATACACTGCTGGTGGGACTACAAAGTCTAGTACAACCTCTATGGAAAGCAATATGGAGATACCTCAAAGAGATACAAGTACAGCTACCATTTGATCCAGCAATCCCATTACTGGGCATCTACCAAAAGAACAAAACACATTCTATAGCAAAGACATCTGCACTAGAATGTTTATAGCAGCACAATTCACAATTGCAAAGACGTGGAAACAATGCAAGTGCCCATCAATACATGAGTAGATTAATAAAATGTGGTCTATGTATACCATGGAGTTCTACTCAGCCACAAAAAAACAATGGTGATCTAGCACCTCTTGTATTCTCCTGGATAGAGCTGGAACCCATTCTACTAAGTGAAGCATCCCAAGAATGGAAAAACAAGCACCACATGTACTCACCATCAAATTGGTATTAACTGATCAACATTTAAGTGCACATGTAGTAGTAACATTCATCAGGTGTCGGGGGGGGTGGGGGAATGGGTATGTTCACACCTAATGGGTGCAGTGCACACCGTCTGGGGGCTGGACACGCTTGAAGTTCTGACTTGGGTGGGGCAAAGGCAATATATGTAACCTAAACATTTTTATCTCTGTAATATGCTGAAATAAAAAAAAAAATAGTTTGACAAGGAAGGAGTAGATAGAAATAAGGTAATAGGAAATACCCAAAGAAAATTTCTAGAACTAATGAAAGGCTGAAATCCTTGGAACCCAGATTGAAAAGGGCAATTTTTAAAATCTACACTTAGACCCATGATAATGTAATTTCAGTACATTAAAAAATATATAAAGAAAAGAATAATAAAGCTTCCAGAGAGTTTAGATTTCTTAGAAAGAATGAGAACCAGATTATCATCAGACCTCTCTTCAGCAACACTAGATGGAGGAAGGTCGTGGAGCAATATCCTCAAAATACTGAGGGTAAATAATGTAGATTTATATGCCCAGGTAAGCCAGTTTAGTTGAGTGTGAAATAAAGAAATGTAAACATAAGATACTCAAGAGTTTACTGTGCTCAAATTACTAGATGTTAGAATCCAGGAAGGAAATAATAAGATGTAAGAGCCAAACCAACCTCAACTTTTCTTGATAGTGAGAGATTGAACTAGAGCACTATCTGCCCTGTTCTTTCAATAGAATAATTGTTCACCCTTTCTCTCCCTTGGAGCTAGCATGGGACAGATAAAAACCCAACTGTACCTGAAGTTTTGAACTCAGATGACTTGCAGAATAATTACTATGTCTGTCATAGAAATAGAGACATAAAGAGGAAAAGCAGGCTAAGCAAAAAGACAGTGTTGGAAATAATGAGGTTTAAAGAGTTATTAGAATATAAATAGGCAAATTATTTGATTGTAGTTTTGTCATTATTTATTCTCCCAGTACTTTAGAAAGTATGCCAATTTCCTGGCCAATAGGAAGTTGAAAATTGACTTCCGACCTCCGAAGTCAGGGCTCTATCCCCACTGCTTGGCACCATGCCTTTTACATAGGTATTCACTAAATAGCTTTTGAATTAAATGAGACTGTTTGCATCAAAACAAGTGGAAATTGAACCAGGGGGCCCTGCTAAATGGTTAAGTAGATTAGTATTTATTCATTTTAGGCCCTTGGAATATCTGCATTAGGGTTACTCGAAATACTCGCTAGAGTACAGATTACTGGGGCCATGCTCCAAATACACTCAGTCAAAGTTCTTGGTGTATGTCTCAAGAATCTTATTTTAGTAAGTGCCTCCAGTGATTTTTGAGCATGTTGAAGTTAAATAATCCTTGGAGGACAGGGAAAAGAATACTGGAAAAAGGATCAAGCCTGGAGAAAGCATGTCCAAGGGGACAGTGCTTTTCAATGTTTAATGTCATTCACATTTAGGAGATAATTTGCACATGAAGCCTGAGGTACAAGACAGAAAGACTGATGGAGCTGTAGTTAACTAGCTCCAGGATCTTTCGCATCCCCAAAGCTGAGAGTATTAACTTTCTGAGACACCAGCAACATATCTGTGATACTGAAAAGCTCTGTAAAGGGTATGAAGGAAAAGGAACTATCAAATAAGAATTAAGGAGAAGTTTATTAATCAAAGTTCATAACAGTGCATTGCCATCAAAGTTAAAGATGTTTCATGCTGCTGAAATTTGAGAAGGAAGAGAAATGACCTTTGGGTTTCAGTAGTTGGAAGGTCCATGGAATCTTTGTTGTTTTGATGCACAGGTGAAGGGAAAGAAAAAGGCATCTTCACCTCTCTCTGACTCTTCACCTCCTTCTTCCAGATTGAAAGGTTCTTGGATTAAATTGAGTCATCCTGCTCAAAGTGGCCTCTACTTGTAGCAATATTTTTCAGGTTCCTTTCTTTGCCATTTCCCTTAGCTTAAGGTACCTGAGATGTGTTACCTTGTGTTTACTATTGTTGTACAGTATGGGGTAAATAAAGGTGTATGTTTATTATTAAACGTAAGTGAATTATAGTGGATAGCAAATAAAAGAACAGGTTTTCATAAATTGTATTTATAAACAGACTTGTTGACTTAAGATGGGGTTACGTCCCGATAAACTCATTTTAAATTGAAAATACTGTACGTCAAAATGCATTTAATACACCAAACCTGCTGAACATCGTAGCTTACCCTTGCATATCTTAAATGTGCTCAGAACACATACATTAGCCTACAGTTGGGAAAAATCATGTAACACAAAGCCTATTTTATAATAAAGTATTGAATATCTCATGAAATTTATTGAATACTGTACTGAAAGTGAAAAACAGAATGGTTGTATGAGTATTCAAAGTACAGTTTCTACTGAATGCATATTGCTTTCATACCGTCATAAAGCAGAAAAATCTCAAGTTGAACCATCATAAATTGGGGACCATCTGATAATGGGTCTTATGAGATAATTCTCTTCTCTGAAACTCTTCTTTAGTCTCTTAACAACCATATTAACCCCAAATCATTCTGTGTAGTATTTAGTTGCCTACTTACTATTTAAAGTCCAACACTTAATCTTACATGATTATATATGTATTTTCAACAGTGATTCTTTTCTTGCACACCGAGAAAGTATGCAACAGATGATGAGAAGTTTTTCTGAACCTTTCGGAAGAGACTTGCTCAGTATCTCTGATGGTAGAGGGAGAGCTCGTAATCATACAAGACATAATGATGATGAAGATTCCTTGACTGTAAGTTCATTTTTAAAAAAACAATTAGTGAGAAAGTCCTGTAGGAATTTGAAGAAAATGATTATAGAAGTATATATTTATGATGATAGGATATCACTATGCTTGTATTATAGATATAACTGTTATATAAAAGGGGGGAACTATTGGAAAGCTGAATCCTTGACAATGAATTGTTAGCCATATAGAATTCCACTGTGTGCTACCAAAACATTCAGAACCATATTATAAGCCAAACTTAAACCGTTATTTTTCATATAGGTAGATAGATAGATAGATATAGATAGATATATCACCTTATAACTTCTTCCTTGTCTTAAATTAGGTTAGGCAAGGAAATGACCATCCTGTACCATATGCTTTTTTAAATACTTTAAAATAGTATCAGAAGCTACAGTTTAATGGATTATGTTTATTGGACCAGGAAACAATAATCTTTTGCATGGTTACCTTGGATCTTCAAAGCTTATATTAACTTTTAATTGTATCTCAAAAGCCTTGCACAACTGCAGGCTATTTTCATAAGTCTTGTCTGAGAGCAAAGCTGGGAGGTTACAACTCAAACATACTCAACTCAAAAAAAAAAAAAAAAACCCAGGATGTTTATATATCTTAACCATTTTCCTTTTTGCCTCTTTTATTTATTTCTGTTGCTTTGTCGGCCTCAGGAATGGCAATTCTAAGATAACAAATCTGCAGGAGTTTCTATAAAAGTGAATCTCTACAACCAAAACGTAGATATTTGGAACTCAGTAAACACTGAATTGGTCAATTGAGGAACTTCCAGAATCTTCCAGAAAAAATTTTTATATTTTCTGTTTGAGTAAGCTTAAATAGAGCAAAATATTTCAGATAGTCCTAAGGAGTTTGATGAATAAAATTACATTTCCATTTAAAGTGAAAGTAATCTTCACATTCTTTTTCATACATATTATTCCCAAGCAGCATATTGACATCCCAATTATTTTTCTTTTAATTAGTGAATAGTGATATCATTATATATATTATATATAATATATATATATTTTACTTTTAGTACTTATCAGTTTCCATAAAAGTTTAAAATTAATATCAGAGGAAAAATGTCAAAGAGGGCAAAAAAAAATCACTTGTGATATTCTAAAATTGTATCTTTTATGTAAGCATTAAAATATTTTGTATATTTGCTGTAACTACAGCAAGGACAGAGTAGGGCTACATATAGCTCTTTGTATTTATGTGCATAAATGGTCCATTCATAGTTTTTATGGAAGAAGCAAGAAGTGACAATTTTATTCCCTCTTGTAAGCATAGAAAGGAGACCTGTTTATAATTCAGCTGAAAATTTCTTATTGAAGATGTCTATACACATCAGCTATAACTCTGCTAGTCATCCATTGGAAGCAGAAATAAATGTTTCTTGTATTTAAAACACTGAATGTTTGACAGGAGCAGGAATGGGAGATATATAACTAAAAATATAAATTTCTGTGAAACTGTAGTTTGTAAGATTCATAAGAACTATTTGCACTTCAGCATGCTTCATATTATATTTGTCTTGCCAAAGTGCCTTTAAAGTAAGTGTTAGGGGAAAAGAAGAAAATATACAGCTCAAGTAACATGGTTGCATAAATGTGATGATTAAATCAGAAAAGCCAAGTAGGAAAACAATTCCAAATATAAAGGAAGGCCAAGACCAACATTTGAATGAAAAACTAAAATAATTGCAACCTTGTTGTCATAGTCAGGCTGCTGTAACAAAATACCTTGGACTGGGTAGTTTATGAACAACAGAAATTTATTTATCACATTTCTGGAGGCTAGGAAGTCTAAGATTAATGTGCTGGCAGATTCACCGTCTGGTGAGATCTTGCTTTCCGCTTCATAGAGGGTATCTTCTTGCTGTATCCTTACATGATGAAAGGGGCAAATAAGCTCCCTCAGGCTTTATTTATAAGCCACTAATCTTATGATTGAGGGCCGAACCCTCATGACCTAATCATCTCCTAAAAGCCCCACCTATTAATACTACAGATACTCCTGAACTTATGATGGGGTTACATCCCAATAAATCTATCACAAGTTAAAAATAACTTTCCTCAAAAATACATTTAATACACCTAACCTACCAAACATCATAGCTTAGTCTACCCTACCTTAAACATGCTCAGAACACATACATTAGCCTATAGTTGGGCAAAATCATCTATAACACAAATCCTATTTTATAATAAAGTGATGAATATCTCATGTAATTTATTGAATACTGTACTGAAAGTGAAAAACAAAATGGTCGTATGAGTACTCAAAGTGTGGTTTCTATTGAATGTGTATCACTTTGATACGATGGTAAAGTCAAAAAAAAGTTGGGGACTGTTTATATTACATTTTATTATATTACTGTTTATATTACATTTGGGATTAGGCTTCAACATATGAATGTGGGGGAATGGACACTTGTATTTAGACGATAGTGCTTGTCTAATTTATAGTGGCAGAAATTAGCCTTTGTCTATGATTATTAATCATTTATTAGCATAGTATAAAGTCTATAGGCTAGCGTCCAATAAAACTTTCTAGAAAGCAGAAACGTTCTGAATGTGCACTGTCCAGTAGTCACTAGGCACGTGTCTACTGAGCACTTGAAAGGTGCCTAATGCTACTAAAACTACATTTTAAATTTTATTTAATTTTAATTATTTTAAATTTAATTTTAGATGCCACATGTGGCTAGTGACTACTTTAATGGACAGCATGATGATAGACATTCAAATAGATTCCAAATCAGTTAGCTTTTTCTTAAACAATGGTAAGTAAAGAGCGCTAATCATCTATGTGGGAACCTCTCATCTTATTTCTCATTTCATAATCATCTCTTTAAACATTTTTTCCAAGAAAAACTGCAATATTCATCTACCTATTAAAAGTAAATGGTAATTTAGACAAATGCATTTCATAAAATATAAGTCTCATGGCTTTTTACATGGTAATATTGCTTGATAATATTTACTTGCATCTAAAATCAAGTAGTATACATTTTCCTTTATTACATTGTATCAATTATCTTAGAAAGCTAACACCAATACATTTTTTTTCGTGTTCAAACTATGAAAATCTTTTGCTAACTAAGAGCATTGAGCATTGTTCTAGGGCAGTTGAAGGGCAGTAGTAATTTTTTAAATACAGGAATTTCATCCTGTTACACTGGGTTTTCAAAAGAACATTCAGCCTTTTAGCCAAAACTCATTTTTTTACCTGTATATTTGTAATTCATACTAGGGAGATAAGGCTCTCCTTTTCCCTAGGGTGTGATATATTTGACAAGTTTGTTTTTAAATATGAAGGACTTACATAATAGCAAAAATAAATTAAATAAAAAAAAAAAACAAAAAAGCAACAACAACAAAAATTTGTATCCCAGCTTGACTTTTCTAACAGTGTTTTATAACAAGAAGTGAATGTGGAACAAAAATTAGAAATTGATTGCAGAAAATGGAAAAGACTGCTTTCTGTGCTAAGTTTGAAAAGAGCAGAATGAAGAAGATAATAGGCTTTTGAGCATGATAAGTTTGAGTTTATCTGAATTTTTAATAAAAATTCATATAAAACTTTATTTTTACAAAGTAATGTTTTAAAATGAGTGTTTTGATTGATCAGTGAGCTATTATGCTTATGTTTTTAAGCATAGTAGATGAAAATTCGTATTTCATATAGATACCTTGGTAATTTTTTATTTTTGGTCAATTTCTGGATAGTTGTCATCTTTATCAGCCATATTATAAGGGAAAACAGAGACTCATACTAGAAATAGAAACATCAACTGCACCATTTCCTTGTGTGTATATTATTAGCATTTTTATTCCATGATTTCTTTATAGGGATATTTTTAATAGAAGCTAGTTGTTCATTTTGTAAGGATTAGTTTTGTTTAAAACTAGATTATTTAATCTGTAAATTTATTTAACTAGGTACCTTTTAACTCAAGCTATGACATTAAGACTGAGTGATGGTGCCAGAGTCAATCAAAAATCTGTTTTTTCTTTAAGTAAAAAGAAATAGAGATGCCATTGGTGCATCTAAAACACTTTGGAGACTACTAGATATATATTATAAGTATATATCATCTGATATCATTTATTATAAAATTTAATAGAGATACAGTTTTTTCTATTTTTCAACATAACTTACACAGGGAGGATCACTGAACTTATACTGATAAATTATTTATATTATGTATGTTGTTATAATACAATATCATCTATTATGATAAAACTTTATCACTGAATGGTAAAACTTTATACCTTTTACTCAGAAATTCAAAATTTATCTTCAACATTTAAAACTTCCAAGTAGTTGAAAGTTTTTAGTTTGTATATACCTAAAAATTTGTTTTTCTTCATCTGTACCTGTTGAAGAATACAATTTGTGAACTATTAATTTTGATTTGTTCATCTATTATACTTAACATTGTTTTGCCTATCAAAGACACTAAATATTTTTAAATCTATGTGATCATTTCTGAAGTCTATATTAATTTCTTATTCCATAAACTGGTCCTTAGGAGGTATTAAATTTTTTCCCAATATCTCTACTGATCTTTTGGAATTTTATTAATGTATATAAAATTTTTATTTTTAATCAGTTACAGGCAAAATTAACTGTTCTTTAAAAAATATGGAATTGATCAGGCTCAGTGGCTCACATTTAGAATCCCAGCACTTTGGGAGGCCAAGGCAGAAGCATCACCTGTGGCCAGGAGTTTGGGACCACCCTCAGCAACATAGTGAGATCCTGTCTCTACAAAAAATAAAAAAAATTAACTGGGCACGGTGGCATGCTCCTGTAGTCCTAGCTACTCAGGAGACTGAGACAAGAGGATCGCTTCAGCCCAGGAGTTCAAGCCTGTAGTCAGTGAGCTGTCATTGTACCACCGCACTCCGGCCTGGGCAATAGAACAAGACTTTGTCTCTAAAAAAAATTTTTAGGCCGGGCGCGGTGGCTCACGCCTATAATCCTAGCTCTCTGGGAGGCCGAGGCGGGTGGATTGTTTGAGCTCAGGAGTTCGAAACCAGCCTGAGCAAGAGCGAGACCCCATCTCTACTAAAATTAGAAAGAAATTAATTGGACAACTAAAAATATATAGAAAAAATTAGCTGGGCATGGTGGCGCATGCCAGTAGTCCCAGCTACTCGGGAGGCTGAGGCAGGAGGATTGCTTGAGCCCAGGAGTTTGAGGTTGCTGTGAGCTAGGATGATGCCACGGCACTCTAGCCCGGGCAACACAGTGAGACTCTGTCTCAAAAAAAAAAAAAAAAATTTTAAAAAAAGGAATAGTTGAGCAAAGGAAAGATAATTTATTCATTGTAGCTTACGTTTTAATTAATTTTGGCATGGATTTGCATTTCCTTTGAGAAATGTTTATCTTACTCCATAGCAAATATTTTTCCTTTCAGCTGCCTTTAATAAATACTAGAGTAGTCATATTTTCAAGTCATACATGGCCTTCCTATTTGCTGCCAGGCTCCTATCAGGCCCTACAATGAATAATAATCATATAACTTAAAATATATATGTTGAATTCTTTTTTTTTTTTTTGAGACAGAGTCTCACTCTGTTGCCCGGGCTAGAGTGCCATGGCATCAGCCTAGCTCACAGCAACCTCAAACTCCTGGGCTCAAACGATCCTCCTGCCTCAGCCTCCCGAGAAGCTGGGACTACAGGCATGTGCCACTATGTCCGGCTAATTTTTTATATATATATTTTTAGTTGTCCAGCTAATTTCTTTCTATCTTAAGTAGAGACAGGGTCTCGCTCTTGCTCAGGCTGTTCTCAAACTCCTGAGCGCAAACGATCTGCCAGCCTTGGCCTCCCAGAGTGCTAGGATTACAGGTGTGAGCCACCACGCCCGGCCTGTTGAATTCTTTTTGATTAAAAGGTTTTGTAATTTTGGTAGCTCTGAGCTATGTGGTTATGCAGTACATTTCTTTCTTTTTCAGGGATTAGTATATAATAAATATTAAAATTAATTGGATATTATTTTTCTAGGCAACGAGTTATTCTCTTGTGCCTTTTGGCAGTTTTGGTGGTATGGTTCGTATCATGAGATACAAACAATTTTTGCAATATTTTCTAACAAATATTTATTTTTCATTAACTCAAGCAGACTGAATTGGCATCTAGTCTCACTAACTTTCATAATGGCTTTTTAGTATTTGTACTGAAAACCTCTGTTTTATGTATTAAGTTTATCTCAGAATGTTTTAGCATGTGTTTTCTAAAGTAAGTCATGTCAACACATATAAAATCATTCTTGAAAAATAAAAAGTAGATTTTAATAGATGAATATTTTCTTGATTTACAAAAGGGGTCATCATAGTTGTGTTTGAAAGTTGGAGACTTCCACATGCTTATGATGACTTTCTTAAAGGTAAAACAGTACAAAACTATAGGTAGATAAGCACAACATTTGGGAAAGCTCAGCTTGGCTGCTTTCTCTTTGTTGCCAATTTGTCCATGCTGCTTTTCCTTGCTCATACACTTGAATGCCTACTCTGCAACCTGCATTTCTCCCACCCCTATTTCTTTGGACTTTGGTGCTGTGTCTGTGATGCTAGTTTCTAACACACCAAAAGCATTCTGAGAAGTAGCAGAGAATACCATGAATCTGGAACATTTGTATTTATAGTCTCATAAAGAGATTTTTTTTAAATTCTTTTTTGCTACGTTTGAACCATTCATTGCCCTGAATTTTGTCATACAGGTATAATATTTATCCCTACTGACCAGAATGTTTAGTGGGACAAATGATCAAAAAAAGAAAAAAAGCAATTATAACACAGAGTTGTCAGTAAAATGAGCAGGAAGTTCCACATGCTGTGGGAGCAAAGATAGAAAAAAAGCACTTAATCCAGACCTTTTGAGCTGCGGTGGGGTGGGGGTGAATCAGAGAAGACTTCATGAACCTTAAGGATGAGTAGAAGTTAGCCAGAAAAATCAGGAAGAGGAAAGGAAGAGTATTCAACACAGAGGAAACAGCATGTGCAAGGACCTGGCATCTAGGGAGCTAAAAGATGTTTAGAATGTTTAGGGGATGAGTTGAACAGTAGATATAAATGAGGATAAGGTGTAACCAGAGACTTTTAGGCCTTAGTAAGAGCAGGGGAAGCAGTTGATGGACTTTCATCAAAAGGTAATGAGTCAAATTCTCATTTTTAAAAGATCATTATTGCCTGCAGGGGAGAGAAAGATTAGAAGGGACCACCATGGAAGCAGGGAGGCCAGGAGGCTGTTGAAGCATTCCGAGTAAAGTATTAGTGATGGCCTCTACTTGGTAATGGCTGTGGTAATAAAGAAATTACTTCATTTGAGAAAGAGTTAAAGATATGACTGGATAGAACTCAGTGATTGATATGGTTGAAGGAGCAGTAGAGAGGGAGAAGGGAAGTATCCCACCAATTTTTTGGCATGAGGAATTAGGTAGATGGAGATGCCACTGAGCTAAGGCATTGAGTCAGTACAGATACAAGAGTGGGAGTGGTCAAAACTATCATTTTGAGTGTTTTGCATTTGAGGCTTCTCTGGGTTGTACAGGTGGATTTGTCTTGTAAACAGTTTGTATATATGAATTTGAGCTGAGCTAGAGATAATTTGTTCATTCATTCAGCAAATAAAGCACTCCTAGGTGCCAGGAATTATTTTCTAAGTATTGAGGATATAGTAGTAAGTAAGACAGAGAAGTTAGCCCTGCCCCCACAGAGATTATTTTTATGAAGTGGGAAGACAGACAATGAACAACAAAATAATTTCACATAGTCGTAGTACTCTGAAGAAGATGAAGCAGGGTAATGATATAGAGGCAAGTGGGAGGCAGTGATTACACAGATGACCAGCAACAGCTTTTTTCAGGAGGTGACTCCTGAATGATGAGAAGGAACTAACTATGCTAAAAGTCAGGAGGAAACATTGAAGGCAGAGAGAGGAGCATGTGTACAAAATTCCTGAAGTCCTTAGAGGCCTACTGGAGTGTCTCAGCTCCAATTTGTACCCATACTTTTTCTCACTTCAGTGTGTTGGGTCACCCCAGAACAAGTACAGATATATCTTTTGATGGTTGATTTGACAGTGATTTGAGAAAAGGGCAGAATATACCCAAATGTCTGATCTTTTACTCCCTCTCCTTTTCTCTTTCTTTCAGCTAACCTTTCCATCTCTCATGAATTATGTCTGATACAGGCCCTGATTCTCAGCCTAGTGCTGAAACAAAATATTCGGAATATTTTTAGAATTGTCTTTGAATCTCTGAAATGCGGGTTAATTCTACTTCAGTCCTTTTTGTACCCAAAGATATATTTGGTATGTCCTAAATGTGCCTTTGCTGTTCCCTACAATATTAAGTACAGATTCTAAAGAGGAATTTGGTTTCCCTTTCCCATCTATTTCCCATTATTACTGTCAGTAAAAACCCACTAAAAGGCAGAGACACAAGCAAGCCTTTGATAATTCCTTGTTTAGAGCCAGGTTGGCACATGGTGGAGCAGTCTCCAGGAGGACCGAAATACCAGCACTGAACCACAGTACCTTGGGATTCAGAACTCCTCTTCAGAGCAGAGGAATTTCTTGAATCAAGCAACTCCCTTTGTGTTAGGCACAAAGTAGTAGGCAACTCATTAGGTGACACACTAGAATATGTGCTCTACTTTTATTTTCTGGTGAGTGTTCCGGTGATAAAACCTAAAATTAATAGCAGGTTTTTCTAGACCAAGGTTTCTGAACCTCGGCACTACTAACCTTTTGGGCAGGATAATTCTTTGTTTTAGGGGGCTGTCCTATGCATTATAGGATGTTTAGTAGTATCCCTGGCCTCCACCCACTACATGCTAGTCATACACCCTCTTCATTTGTGACAACCCAAAATGACGTTTTTGCCAAATGTCCCCTGAGGATCAGAAACAATCTTGGTTGAGACATCATTGTTCTAGAGAAATTCTTAACTGTTCTTCTGAAGAAGCATACCTCATGTTTAAGGGTATGGCCTACTGTTCCTTCAGTAGGCAGCAAATCAAAGGCCTGTTTTTAAAGTGGATTGACCTCTATCACCTGGACCCTACTGATGAGAGGAGGGAGGGTTGGCTATCTGAGGGGCAACTTCTGTCAGCCATGTGATATTGGTGGAGGTGACACTGGCATCTTGTTCCCAAATTTTATTTATTTGCATGGTGGGGTATTGAGATGCAAGAAGGAAAAATTTGAAGACTGTCCTATGCTAGAGCTGTTCCAGTCCATAATATATCACTCAGTATTTAATATTAACCAAATTATGTTTTGAAAAAGCTGATGAATGATATATGTGTAATTATATGTACATGCATGTATATGTGTATATATACACCAGTGTATATATGTATTTGTAATGTTACAATTTCCTAATCATTTCTATGTTGGCTATTTGGGATTTTGCATATGCTTCAATTTTCTCTTTAACAAATCGCTTTCATTGTATGGTCCTTAAATTATCTTTGCCTGGTTGATTACTATATGAGATCTTACTAAATGAATTGAAAAAAAATTTTTCAGCTGTTTTGGGAAGATTTATTTGCTTCTTTTGTGTTGTACTTGTAGTTAATAACATACTTCCTAATATCCTGTAGCGTACAGATGTCAACCCTTTTCAGGCAATGGATCGAATGATGTTAAATATGAGAAACAGTATGCAGGAATTACAAAGAAACTTTGTAAGTACTAAAAATAAAGTGTTGAGAACATTGTTTTCAGTTATTGGTACACTCTATCTTATAGTGACTTTCAAACATTTTTAAACTACAGTTCACAGTGGTTATAAAATATATCTTACATGATTAACCCAATAAGCAATACTTGCATACTTTTTAAATATGTCTGAAACAAAAGTTTTGTTAAAAAATGATCATACTATTTACAGTGTGTGCTGATATTTTCTATTTTATTTCATGTTTTAAAAATCCTGGTTACAACCCACTAAATTGATTTTATAACCTATAAGTTTGAAAAAATATCATTAGTTAACTTTCAAATTTACAAAAAATTTAACCTCAAAAACATTTGTTCTACTGAAAGTCACTATTGTAAATGAGCATTTTATGTGAATTTGAATATTTTTATTATTTATAACCTGTCTGCTTAAAAGGACTCGTAGTATCTAAGAAATTAAGTTTTTACTGTTAAAAAAAACTCTGAAAACACATTTCAGAAATGATGTTTAGATACTGAATTAGATCCATACAGTCCAAATACAAACTAGTACTAAAGTAACATTGTTCCTTTTCTACTCATAATGTTAACATCAAAAATAAATCACTTGATTCTATCTGAAGAAGACCTATATCATTCTTATCAACCAATTTGGATTCTGTGATCATTTCAGAATGCCCAAATCCATCTAGGGCATTACTGATTTTAGTAATGTAGCAATCTGGTACAAGAGGTGTGAAACTTCTTGGTGTATGTTTAATTGGCTCTACATTGGCAATATTGCACACAAGAGTCAACCACTAACTATAGAAGTATCACAGGTTTCATGGTCTAGCACCTTTATTGAAATCTAAGCTACAAGAATCCAAAGACTTAAGGATCTCTGACTGAATCACTTATTAGTCTTTACAATGAGAGTGGGAATTAGTACCTGGAATAGAATGATCTCAATAGAATGAAGTTAGGACCTTGCTGGAGGTGCCATTTGGATACACCACATTGGTAGTATGGTATCCTCAGTAGAACTTATAACTAGTGTTGTTACTTGCTTAAACTCTCTACCCATAATTCTTTGTATATGACTAGACTCTGAGTTTACAATTTCTGTTTACCTCTAGGGTCACCTTTCAGTGGATCCAAATGGACATTCATTTTGTTCTTCCTCAGTTATGACTTATTCCAAAGTGGGAAATGAACCACCAAAGGTTTTCCAGGCCTCAACTCAAACCCGTAGAGCTCCAGGAGGAGTAAGTATTTTCTAAGCATTCTTAGAGCTTTATAAAATGTCGACAAGACAGACTGTATATATAAAATTTTAATTATTAAAATTTGATCTGGTACAGGGTGGCAGGAGGGAGAACTGGGAGGCATGGGTTTGGGGCAGGTAAGGCAGTGCTCACTGTGAAAACCATTAAAGCTCAATTCTATTTATTTAGTTTATGGCAATTTTTTTGCCCTCCCATGAGGATGCCTTTTTTCATGTAAATATCTATTGATTTTTATTACCTTTACATGTTGACAAGGTAAATAAACACTAAAAGAAGCCTTTGTCTACTTTTAAGTTTGTCTGAAGTAAATTAATTTTTTAATTCATGAAATGTTTCAAATATACAGAAAGGATATATAGAATAATATAATGAATACCCACATTCCTGCCACCCAGTTTAGTCATATTAATAACATTTTTCTCTGTAGGCTTCAGGTTGTCTCTTTTTCTTGTTTTCTTTTTAAGCAAAAAATGCCTGGATGCAGTTAAAGCTTCCAGGGCACTCCTCCGAGGTCCCTCTTGTATTCCCTCCCTAGAGATAATCATTTTACCATATCTAGAGTTTATCATTTTTCTGCATGTTTTTACAATTTTATTACTGTTAATAATATGCATCATAAAAATATAATGGATTATTTTGCAGGTTTCTAAACTTTATACAAATGGTATCATATTGCATGTGTCCTCTGCAGTTTGCCTTTACTCAGTAATATGCTTCTGAGATTTACTCAAGTTGATGTGTGTGGCCCTAGTTTATTTAACTTTTATGTATAGTATCCAAAAAATATGAATATACCATGATTTTTTATTCATATTCTATTGATAGATATGTAGGTGTATCTAATTTTCTCACTAAAGTCACCCTCATACATGTCTCCTTGTGCAAAGGATGTAGGATGGTATTGCTGGGTTGAAGGATATGTGTGCATTCATCTTTACCTAGAAATTAGCAAGTTACTATCCCATAGTGCGTGAAACTGTTCACTTCCACAAACTGTGGTATGAGAGTTTCTGTTTCTCTATTCCTTGTTAGTAAATTTTTTGGTTTACCAGTCTAATGAGTGTGAAGTAGTTCATTTTTTAGTTCTACATATAAAGATACACTTTTTAATGATGCTTTTGCCACAATTCTGTTAATGTCATCTCAGACATTTTAATTTTAACTTGCTAAAAGTGACAAAGTCTTACATGTAAACAGAATATAATTATAGATTTCCCACAGCAAATATTGTTTCTAGTCTTTGGTTATCATACATATCCTAATGATACTTCCATAGAGTTGATAAGTAGGACCTATGAGATTCTAGCCCATCAGCATGACTGATGAATAATTAGTTGTCCTTATTTGTAGATAGTCCATTTTATATAATTTTTATTCTTTGTTTTAATATTTGATTACAATTTGGAAAAAGGTTAGATTGTATTGGTTCTATTTGCCATAGACATTTTCATTTTAGACAACTCAGGAAATATCAAAGACTTACTACAATAATTTTACTGCAAGTTGATAGTAGAACTGAGTACACATTATCTTCAGCACAATAGATCTAAGAATTTACCTCAATAGGTAAATAGGCCCTGAGGAATTTAGAATTATATCCATTCTATGTATATTTAAATAATAACTATTTTTTATTTTCTTTATTTTTATAGATAAAGGAAACCAGGAAAGCAATGAGAGATTCTGACAGTGGACTAGAAAAAATGGCCGTTGGTCATCATATCCATGACCGAGCTCATGTCATTAAAAAGTCAAAGAACAACAAAACTGGAGATGAAGAGGTCAATCAAGAGTTTGTCAATATGAATGAAAGTAAGTTATCACAAAAAATAGTGCTAAAATGAAGCTATACTTAAAGAACTTGATTAATATTTTTTGTAGAAACATGTCATAAGATGTAGTTTCTGAATAATATGTGTAGGAAATACCTTGTCAAAGTAATAAAATTGTGGTTTCATCATTTCATAGTAGATCTGTTTTTACAATGATTTTTGGCATTGTGCAATATCATTTATTTTTATTGTTTTATACTTGGAAAATGGAATCTTTTGAGTTGTTATTTAGTAATGCTGTCAATAGGCAAAATGAGTTTTAAAATATTTTTTCTGATAAGGAAGTACATTTGAAAAATATGCAGATGAAAATAAAAATCATCCATAATCTAACCCAAAATAACTACTATTAGTGTTTTAGTGTATTTCTTCCTAGTAGTTTTATGTATATATTATTAATAACATACATACTTCTTTAAAATTAATATTTTACTATCTATGTAGTTTATATTGTGCTTATTTTAATTCACCATTATAAGGTGTGAAACTTCTTGGTGTATGTTTAATTGGC